ATTGCTTCTAAATGAACAATCAATATGTTTTGTTTTTTCTGACTAAATACAAACTGTCAGAAAATGAATAAAAAAATACATTAAAACGTTTTAAGAATAGTGATTATGAGTATGAATTCACAATGTAACACTAATTAATTGATGGTTTAATTTTTTAAATATATATTGAGTAAATTTGTTTTTCGAAACTTAAATAGCAAAAGGATGACAAAATAAATGTTGATGATACATCTTACAGTAAACTTTAATTTTTTAATTAATATTCTCTGTACTATATTAACTTTATATTTATTATATATTGACAAAGATTCCAGTAACAGAAATTCAAAAATCTGTATCGACAATCAATCAGATTGGAATGTCTAAATATTGCCTAGGTTGGGTTCGCGAATAAGAAATATTTAAATCTGTACGCTGAACACGTCTGGACCTGAATATTCATACACTCTTGGCTCGTACGCGACTCGAGGCTAATTCTGTTAACTTAACAGAAACTTGCTGACTTGGTTCAGCAGTCATTGTCGGAATGTTAACTATGTAACACTGGGTTGACTTGCTTCTCGTTAATATTGTAAGGTATTTGCTCTGCAATCAACTTATTTATGTACAACTTACCGATAGATAGTTAACGAATTAAATTATATGGATTTAACGATTCAAACGTGTATTTTATTGAGTGTAAAACGTTAAACTAGACACTAAACGTAACACATAATAAAACGACAAAGTTAGGTGAATGTGTTTCACTACACTCGACATTTAGCATAATTAATTACCCTCTAAGCTCAACTCGTGGTTAAATATAATTTATTTTTGTTATAACGACTTATTTACTGTTGAACATGCATGTGGAAATTAAATGTTCCTTAAAAGTATGAATTAGCTCTATACTGCATACTGTACAAAATAATTGTATTTTGATTTATTTATGTAGTATTAAAATACTATTACGAACATGTTAAACAGTGTTATAAATTATTTTGGGGCAGAATAAATAATGTGAGACCAAGATATCTCATTAGTGGTGTTGTTTACTTTACTTGTAATCATGAAGTTTCTTTTGAAACTGAATGATGACAAATTTCGTTATTTTTTACTGCTAAGGTTTTTGCTGTATAATTCGTATTAACTAAATTTGAAAAGTAATTTTACATCACACTCACAGTTTAGCCATTTTTCTTAAGTTCACCTGCACGTATTATGTATATTTTTAATATACATTTATATATGCATATATCTCAGGTATAAAACTGAGAATACTGATAAGGGACATGCATTGCCATAAAATGTTTAAGTAATAATTTATATGGTTTTCTCTTAAGTGACACTGAAATAATGTTTTGTGATTTAATATATGCTATTAAAATTTTTTTTCTGATATTCAGTTAATATTTTACGTGGCATTACATTATGTGACTATATTGGAATATAATCATGTTATTTAAAAAAGAAATGAACTAAAATGCACTGTTCAACTTTTTAAAGATGCCAGCAAGGCTAGTGTAAGGGCAGTTTGTATTGATCGCGTCCCAGTATAGCCCTCAGCTACGGGACACAAGCCCTTATTTACTCGGCAAGCACATGTTTTTGGCAGCATATTTACGTTTCGTTTGTATTCTTTTTAAAGTGTACTTCGGACTAAAACCTAGATTATTTACCAAAAACGGTTGGTTTGTGGAAATAATTGGTACTGAAATCCATATTTTTGTTTGTTGCTTAAATTGTAATAACGAACGTAATCATCATTAAGTAAGTCTTATGTTGATGGGCTGCATGTTAATAAAGTTGAAAAGTTAATAATAATCATTAAGCTCAACACACTAATTGTTATAGGGTCTAAATCTTAGACACATTAAAAGACATTAACTTTAAAAGATTAGAATTGCTATTTATAGGGTAAATAGGTGAGACATTTACTTATACCATAAGTAAGTAGGAGGTAAGTCAGCAGCGACGTCGAGGGTTCAGATCCTCGTACCTGATACTACTTGCTATCGGTACATTACACCCTTCTACTGTACCTGCTCACCTCTTGCTTAGCTGGATGATACGATGAAGAACAGACCTCAGGTCAATGTGGACGGGCAAATGCAGGGCTAAAATGAGCCGCCAACCTCATTAAAGTAAAGAGTATTTTTTTATTTTGTTTAAAATTACTAAAGAATAGTTTATTCATGATCTGAATAAACGGGCATTAGCGAGATCTTAGAATTAAAAGAGATGACCGAGTTATAAAACGTATGTTTTGAAAAAGTATCACACCTCTGTAAATTACCCTTTTATGCAGAACCGGACGGATATAATGTTGTTCCCTCGTTGAATACTTGTTTTTACACATTTCATATCTTTAATGTGGTGTTTTATAATTCATATTTTAATATTTTACCGCCATTGCCATTATATGTAAGTTATCCTGTTCTTGTAACTATGTAACGTCGATATTTTGTCAGAAAGCATCATTATTTATGACCCAATGTTTAATAAATGGCATTTGAATCCAGATTTGACCTCATAGCATGGTCGAATTTTAAAGCAATTACTGTAGAGTTTGATCTGGTAATGCAGGAAATAGGTTTTAACATGTGTGTTGTTTCTTGATAAAATATCAATCATGATTTAATATCGCTAAGAGCTATGGGATATGTTTGTAATTAATAAGTGTCTGAATATTACGAGCGTTTTCAAGACGAAAAAAATATTTAAATTCAAACCAACATTTTGTATTGAATTGTTTCTTAAAAAATGTCAATCATATGTGGTACGAAAGGCTCGATTATAATGATTTTACGATTGATTTATATATATTTTTTTTGCAGTTTACTATGTTAATTAAAACTGCATAGTAAGAAACATTTGTCAACTTAATGTATACATATTTATATTCAGCTATTACCTGGTTCGTAAGTGCAATGAATGTACTCAGCGTCGTAAAAATATCACAACATTTCAATATATGTTATTACCCCAAAACGTCCAGGTAATTTATTTAATGCAAAACAAAAACATAACAACCATTAAGCTATATATATATATATTCAAAAGTTCCCTTTCCGTGTATGTACCACTTTGGATTTAGTATAACACGTTTCGAGAGTAAACTCGTCTAAGGAACTATCTCGGAGAGTGTAAATCATCTCTGTAGTATAAAGTAATCAACTTCGGCAGCTCTGGAGCCTCTGGGGACTTTCATCACAATAAATCTTCAGTGTTATTAATCCTACGTCCTCGTTAGCATCATATATTTTCACGTTTTTGCATCCCACTTCATATTTCAATTCACATAACACATCTGATAAATTGTAATTTTCTTTAAATAACAAATGTAGGGATACCATAACTACTTATTATTATCATAAAATATCACTGCCATATTGTAAAATATTATATTACCCATTTACGACTGTGATAGTTAAAAGGGTCTCCATAATATTGTTCATTCATTAATTATACTTTGTACTACAGTTTAATGTTAATTGTATACCTCTATGTTGTGTGGCACTTAAAGATTATATTGATTGTATAGCAATTGATTTAACGTCTTCATTTTAAATTATTAATTAGCATAAGTCTAAAAATACTGATAGTCTATTGATTTACTTTTTCAATCATAACAAGATTTTGATCACACTAATCATATTACGAGTACGGGATGCCAATGCATTTGTCTTCGAATAACTTAGTATACCTTGGAGTAATTTGTTATTTCTTAAAAACAAACACCGTTAACAGAAAATATGCTTGTAAGTGGGTAATAAACAAATCATGATTTTGTTGTTGTTGATTGTTTCTTTATTTAAATGAATAACCTTATCTTATCGCTAAAATATTAACAAATCAGTCACATAAAACTAATAGAAATAACTGAAATTATGCATTGCTTAATTTATCCACCTCCACTTGCGAAATTTGAATCCTAGCTTGTTTTATAATGATTTTCCATTCAAGTAGTTTTATTTATATCTCGGGTTTGACTTTAATTACAACTAATGATGTTCTTATAGATGTTTTACTTGTCATCTCCATTTAGGTATACTAGGTTACCCTTTTGCAAAGCTTTTGTTTTTAAGCCTGCAAATTCACCTTTTATTTCAAACTATGGGCATTAAACTAGTTTCACTGTCGTGCAACGTAATACAGCAATTACAGTCTAGTTCTGACCGTGTTATCTCAGGAAAATCGAATATTTTAAGCAAAACAGTATCAGTCACTCCGATAGAAGGCATATTTCATGAATTAACAGCCGTTCCATCAGATTGATATTTCCCGTTCATTAGTATATTGCTCGCTCTGGAAATTACTACTTCTCGTTACTCTTGATCGGAATAATTCAATATCTGCTCACTCTCTCATTTAATGTTAAGAGAGACTGGATTTTAAATATTTCTGGCTATATCCTAACACTTGCAAAACGGATTTATTAGCTTGTATTGATAATAAAAATGTCTAAATCATTCATGAATATTATTGTATCTATTTTTGAAGTTTAATCCAACATCAATTTGTTATGTTTATACTAGGGTTGGTTTAATGGATATGACGTAATCTAAATTGAGACAGTTTAATGAGAAGTGTCATTTACTCTCTTTACAAGTAGTGCAGTAAATATGCAAATAAATGTATACGTGCGTGTAAACAAATATATTCTCTCCCTTAGTTTGGTTTTTTACTAAATTAATTGACATCTTAGTTAGGGTTTATATTTTTTCGTGGCGATCTATATGTACCCGCCTATTTTTTACACACATGGAAGCCTAAACGTAAACATTTCCGTAGAATAGTATCACTATATGATAAGTAATACCTTACGATATCAAGTTGAATATATATTCAATACTGTTCTAAGGTAGGCTAATATGTATTTTTTTTTTCAAAAATCTGCATTCAGCAGTAGGAAAATAACTCCAGGACTATTTGAGATGATTTGAAACAATGCTTTGTCAAGTAAGAACCATACAATTGATGTCTTAACCACTTGTTATATCAATTCATGATGTTTGCAGGACCGCCGCAGGTAGTACAGGCGGTAGTGAAGGGATCAGCAGTTCTTCCCTGTGACATGACAGCTCCCGTGGCCAACGACAGCGTCCTTCTGGTCGTCTGGTACAAGAGTGATATGCGGCCGATATACAGGTACTTTCAAAAACTGCAAATTGTAAATAGATACCTGTGTGTAATGTATGTATGAAGTAGTGACTCAAAAATACAAATTCTTTACTACGGTTAATACATTTAACATAAAAGAAATGCAATTTGACATTTAAATTAACTCTTTGTAAGAAGTTTCAAAGGAAAGGAATCCACATGGTCCACAAGTTTATGTCAGTTACAAAGTTAGAGGACAGTAAGGCTAGCGCTGGGACATACTGTTGTAATTATTCACAAGCCTCGAAGCTTTAGAATTTACTTCCAATGTTCGGCCATCCCAAAGGATTTACTCTTTAACGTTGTGTCCAGACTCATGAACGCATACTAAATCGTTTCCTAGCACACGTATCACATCTTGCTTCAAAGTTTGGTTCCAATATTTATTTTTAGGGATAATATTTTGAATCGCCGGAAAGTATGTTTTAATTATGCTACTACGCAACTAGTTTAATCCGAAATTAAAACGTATCTTTTATTCTAGATACATGGAAATACAGTACAACTTTATTGAGGTCCATATACCCACTTGACAGTCAGATGTTAACAGTGTATTTTACGGATATAACAGTTAGTCTCAGAGGAAGTAAGGCACTTTGTTGCAGTTATGACCTCCGCAAGAAGGACCTGAAAGACAACCACTGGCACGACAGAGACACACTGGGTGGTCGGGCCTACTTCAGGACCATGTCCGAGCCTGCTGGTCTGGTGATCGACACAGTAGAGCTGACAGACGAGGCGGACTACCGCTGCAGAGTAGACTTCAGGAAGTCTCCGACCAGGAACTACAAGGTCAAACTTATCGTCACAGGTCAGTGTGCTACTACAAATCAATTCTTATCCTTATTTTAATTACATCGTATGTTAATAAAATTAGCTTTTGCACAATTATTCAGCTGTTTCCGGAAATTTCAATATAACAATTGCACAGTTGTTTGTACTAATTTCATAAGCCCACCATTGGAATTCCATATAACTAATGATGCAGTCATAATATATGATCACATCAAAACTATCAATTAATCAAATTATAGTGACTTATAATCCGACCGCGTTATCCAAAGGAACGTTACAAAGTGTTATCATGTTTTTTACTTTTATTGATACCTGCAGACGTTGATATTTTTTTTTATTTATTAAATATCCGCCTTTTGAAACAATAAAACCTATGTGAGCTCCACATCTCCAACCAAATCAATAATAATGAAAATATTTAGGTGTATATCTAAACTATATTCCGTTGTTAATTTTTTTTAATAACATACACACAGAGAGACGGATAACTAAAAACCGTTGCACCATCTATAATCTATTTTTAATTATGATGGGAATAAGTATTAAAAATGCGCTTGTGTTTTAAAAAGATCATACTATAATATATATTTAAATAAATGCATGTTTTAAATTATCATGCATTTGAACCTATGACATGAATGTTAAGGAAAATAACAAATTTGCTGTTTTTTTTTTTGCAATTTATACAGTTTTATCCAACCTAATTCATTACTCTTATAATATTTTACCACTTTTATGTGTTGCAGTTCCTCCAGAGAAGCCTTACATAATTGATGACAGAGGGAAGGAAATTCAGGAGCTTGCAGGCCCGTACGAAGAAGGGTCTGAAATGAATCTACGTTGTATTGTAAAAGGAGGTTAGTTACATATTTTCGGAAACTTCTTAATCATAATTTTACATGTTGTTGCTATTAAAAAAATAAAAAATACACTTTTTAAAGGGTGCACTTAATTAAGTTAAATAACGATTATTCCATGTTGTATTATGTAGAATGTAAATTGTTTGGCAAACTATTTAATATGTAAATAATTCAGATTGTTCTTAATGACAACAATATTTATTAATAATCGTTGTACATAACGTTTGTATCACGCTCCTCAGGCCAACCGCCGCCGGTAGTTAAGTGGTGGCGAGGACCCACACTGCTGGAGGCCCGAGAGACCAACAGTTCACGCGACCTCAGTGTGAGGGAGAGTAGGTTGTTGGTGCGACGTTTGGACCGCAGTGATCTCCACGCCACCTACACCTGCACAGCAAGCAACAACAACGTCACTACCCCTGTGTCTGCTGCCGTCCGCGTAGAGATGCATTGTGAGTATCCACCCACCTATGTCAGTTGTTAATATCCTTTAACAAAAGTGTTCATTCAATATTTGATAGCTTAATGGTTAAAGTAATATAATAAATTCAAAGTCACGTAATGGGGTTTTCACTCTTGTGATCTGTTCCAGTCAAACCACTGAGCGCGCAGATACTGACGAGCTACGTGCCTCTGTCTGCTGAAAGGAAGGTTGAGATCGTTTGTCAGGCCATAGGATCACGACCTCCCGCCAAAATCAGCTGGTGGAAGGACAACAAACACCTTGATGATTACACTGAAACGGTAAATACCTTTGGTTATGGTACAAAGCAATTAAATATTACTCATACAAATTATATTACTAGGAGTACGCTCCGATGTCGCGTATAAGAATGAACGAAGACAATTCCATGTAGGCTACCATATAATCTGTCTTTAATCTTTGGTTCCCCTTAACCCTGTCTCTGCGACTGGAGTCTAAACCTTCGCTGTATCATCGCGATGTTGTCCCCTGGTGCTGCGGAGTGGGGGGAAATGATTCTCCCCCCACCTCCCCTCTAGACGGCGTCCAAACAAGCCTGCGTTGTTTTACATGCATAACCTATGCTGCAGTTTTTCAATAATTTAAAAAATGAATATTTATAAAATCAAACTGTCATAAACTAACCTAACCAACCAAACTTGCTGATTATATATAAAAAAGAAATAAAATAAAAATCGAATGTAGGTTTACTAATCGAAAAAAATAGTTCTGTTCATAAAATGCAATTATAAATGCCTCAAATTCAATTTTATAATTTATTAATTATAAAATTAAACAGTCCTAACGTAACCAAACTAACCAAACTTGCTAATAATGAAAAAGCTAACGAAGGAAAAAAAAATAGAATAAAATAAAAAAAATAAAAATAAAAATAGAATGATAGGAAAAAAATAGTTCTAAAACTATAATAGCTCAAATTGAATTTTAATGTTATCTATGTTTTAACTATCAAATTAAACTGTCATAACCTAACCAAACTTGCTGATAGTGCAAAAATCTTAGACAAAAAGTAATGGCCACCGAGAGGTTTTCAACCTAGTATCTTCAGTTTCTCAGCCCGGCACGTTATCCATTAGTCCATGGAGGCCGATGGCTCCAAATCGTATCGTTTCGGTAATGGTTGTTCCCTCAGCCAATAGAACTCTCTTCTCCAAAATTGTGCTTCCCCCACTCCGCAGTGCCAGGGGACAGCATCGTGATGATTTAGCGAAGGTTTAGACTCCAATGCCTCTGCGGCCCGCCGCAAGTTTGTGTGGCGACAGTGGCAGTGATGACCAGCGTTGCCAACACAACTTGCTCATTTTACCCGCAAAATCCGGTGGTAATCCCCGGAATTAGCCGGAATCAAGTCTTGATTACCCGCAAAATCCCCTGAATTCAAATTTTAAAGATTTCGGCAAACTTTTTGGTAAAAACCTCGTTGTAACCACGTTGTTACGGTGCATTGAGAGAATTATTAATATTTATACCATTCTTTCTTATATTCAGCAAACCGTTTATCATTCTGTCAATTCTTTTTTAAGGCTACCTTTTTTAACTGAAGTCAAATGAAATATCAATTTATGTAGTTACCTATTTATGCAAATATTTTTATCTTTCTGAAAGAGAGGTACCGGAACTCCGTTCCACTGCATTCCCCCCAAATCGAGCACTGAATAACAGTAAGACTCTATCCCCTATATCAACCATACCAATTTAAAAAAACATAAAATTTACAAGATTTTAAACTTTATGTGATGGCCCCTGGCCCTATCATAAATTGAATAAATAATGTTAATTATAAAAGCTAGAGCAAGTAATGCAAGAGTACCCTAGGTCTATCGCGAATGACAATTTGAGTACTGTGGTTAATTCGGAATTCTTATTAATAATATTCAATAGTTTGATGCCATAAAATGGTGTTAGTAACCCTTATGGAAAAGTGGACTGGTCCCAGATCTGGATTCTATATCTGGCCAGATCTGGGATGACATATCTGGACATATTCCAGATCTGGCACCCATATCTAACCAGATATGGAATTAGTTCAGATCTGGCATCACAGATCTGATCGTATCTGGCATCCAGATCTGATCGTCGTATCTGGCATCCAGATCTGACCAGATATGGAATATGAAATTGGTAAAATTTGTGTTTTAAGAGACAAACTAACATTTTATGTTATCCACACTTTATTCTTATAAAATCCAAGCCTAAAAAAGATAGTAACCATTGACAGAAAAAATGAAAAAAACTTTAAATAAATTAACGCATGAGTAAAAAAAAATGTTTTGATTTGTTTAGTTTGTAGAGTGTTGTTTATTGTAGGCCTTTCACAATCAATGTTGTTTTTGTGTCATATGGTTGCAAACTATTTGTTTTAGCATAAGTAAAGGACCATTAAAAAAAGTAAAAGTACTTAAGTTAGCCTACGATAACATTGGGTGTAGGCCAAACTTATCTATGGCTTACCTTTTTAATTATTAATTAACTGGTGAACCCCTCTTGACATTTTCTTTAAAATATTCCAATTTTTCACTTCATTGATAGATAGGCCTATGAGATCAATAAATTATTAAATCTGTAGGAACTGTTGTAGTCAGTCGAATTTCGTTTGGTAAAAGTTCTACCGAGCAAGACAATTTTTGGGAAATGTTATCTTAATTACGAGACCTAGATTCTCGTATTGGTAATGGCTTTCGTTACAATACGTGATTAGAAGTGGTCGTGGTGTAGTCGCTAAGTGATCGGAGTTCAACGCTAGAGTCCCTGGTTCAAATCCCGGTCGGGCATATTCAAAACTTTTACTAACAATTTTTTCACTTTTTAATTTTTATTGATTTTTTCATGCATCGTTCATTAGGTTTTAATGTTAAAACATCTTAGGCTATTCTCTTTTATTTTATAAAAATCATTTTCTTTATAAGTAATCTGGAACTCCTTCTTAAGGGAATGATGCAAAACAATGTTACTATTTAAAATGCATAACAATGTTATTATTTAAGTATTTTAACCTGTAGGACCATTTTACCAGAAGAATAGAAGCCTGTATATAGAAACAAATAAAGTACTGTAGGCCTACCTATGGAAATTGAATTTAAGGTAAAAATAACAAGATAAATATTTCAATTTGTTTTATTTGCAAGCATTTTTTATATTTTTATTTAATTGTGTTTCAACCACTATTTTAATTGTGCAAAGACAGTCTGCAGGTAGCATAAATTAATGAGCCGGTTCATTATAACCTAAACTTTACCTTCCTAATCGAACCTAAAACACTTAGGCTAATACAGTCACAAATTCGCATAAAACCCAACCTACCTTCCCCACATGCCTAACTAAGAGCTGATTATTTAGTTTCAAAACAAATTGATTTAATTCCGCATTGAGTTAAGTATAAACAGCTGTTTGCTTTGCTCATACAGTCCTCAGCCCACATTCGGACCCGTCCAGACCACGCCATATTACCATCCGAACCGCGAAATGAACCTTAGATTCGTAATTTTAGCCTTCGTTTTACATACATTTAGGAATCTTTCCGACAAAAACGAATTGCATTTTTGGAATCAGCGTGAAAAATACTGTAAGTAAACATCTAAAAATTACACAATTTCTCAATGTAGACATACTAAATAATTGCCAAATATTTTATCGGATGAGTAAGTTAAATACATTTAATCTTAACAATGGATATCAATATTTATCCGATTCAATTTTTCGATTACAAACAATTCTTTTTTTCCAATGTATGTCGCTAAACATCAAATTGATTTATGGTTGGTACGGTTTTTGTTCATATTTAAGAAATTAGACTACTGTCTAGGAATAACTTACAATTGACCAAAAATAAATTATAAGTTAGGCCTATTAAAAAAAAGGGTACCTTCATATCTTTGGCACAAACAACCGAATGAGTAATATTGATTATTCGATTGTTTAATTCGATATATCGATCGATATTACTCATTCGGTTGTTTGTGCCAACAGATATGGAAGTGTACCCAAAAGAAACAAAACAAATAGGCCTAGGCCTACCTAATAACAAAACATTAAACAACCAAGGATAAAACAATAAAATGCTTCTTTAATGTTTGGTTACCTCGGTAGGTCTTACCTATGGCTCTGGGGAGTGGGATTTTTTAAACGTTATTTTTTTATTTATATCACATGGTAAATGTATGATGAGCTTAAATTCAATAGGCCTAGGCCTACGATATTAAGTTAAGTTAAATTCAAACCGTTAAGTAGTTATTCATCTGATAAAAGAAGTAAGTTATTGTTGGTTCTCTGCGGAACTGTAACTTACCCAGTAGGTAAGATAGTTAGCCTACATTTTTATAAACTCATGAAAAAGATCAAAGTTAACTTACCGTAGGCTAACTTATGTATTTAAAAATTTATCTTTTTAACAAATCATACACAAAACATTCATGTTGATTTTTAGAAATGTTACCTTTGTTATTAGGCCTATTATAAACTAAAAAGTAAGCTATACAGTGTAAAGAGTCTCCTTAAAAAAAGATCTTAGGCATAAATTGTTCAATATTGAAATAGGCCTTGGCCTACATGATAAATAGGTACGGTAAGCTGTATCGCCTAAAAGTGAACCGATTACGATAAGTTATCGCATATAGGGTATATTAAGTTAAACAAAAATATTTCATCTGGTAAATTATCGTAGGCTAGGTTCTCTGCGAAACTGTTCCCCTGAAGATGGGTAACTTAATCTAAGTGGACCTAGTTTACTATAAGGACACAGATCTAGTAGCTAAAAGAAAGTTATAGGGTACTACTTTTTTAGGTCTATTTAGGTAAGTTAGGGTTATATTAAGGCCTACCTTTCTTAGTTTAAACTTTCTACCGTAGGCCTACATTCTTTGACGGTGAAAAACACATTAACTTAAACATAGATTGTTGTATGAACAAATAAGCATAGTACTGTGACATCATTAGACACAGATTTTAACAAAACACTTGACAGGTCATACCTAGGCTAGGCAACACGGCCGTCTAGGCAATTATTGTCAACAGACACACTTTACACAAAACAACTTTAAACATGACACAGCACTTCCTCGCTTCACCGCCTTCCTTCAAAAGTTTATACTGTTTAGGCTATACTTTGAAGTTAAGATTATCTACCTCAGCATTCTGATTGTCTGTCTCACCATTCTTCCACTGCCTTGGTCTTGGTACAATCGATAAAGACCTGTGAGCCCAATGTTATGTCTGCTCGTACCGTATGTCTTCACTTCTTCTTGGTTATCTAAGCGTAGTCCTTTTGTTATGGGCCCTTAGCAGCATTATTATAAGTGGGCTAGCTCTTTGAAGCAGTAGGTCCCCACTGATTGACCTACAGTATTTAGTGTTCAATACTTGATGAAGGGTCCATAAGCTCAGTTGGCACATAGTCGACTGAGAGTACAATATTAAACTCACTAAAATTTGCCACTTATTCAGACCAAATTCGGGAAAGCTCCTTCCTATTGCCTATTCTTTTGTCCATTGGCTGAGTTTCATATGGTTTCATCCGCTCTTCATCAAACTGAGTCTACTTGTTTCTAGGTTAACCTTAACTTAATGGATGAGGTTTGAGTTGAATCTAAAATGCAGTTTAATTGCATTACTTACCTACGTAATTTAAATGGATAGGATTTTATTCACAAACTTTTAAAACCTACTTAGGTTGCCGTCTTATCATCAATAGCAGAATGCACTAAACAAACCTTGAGGAGTATGTTCTATGACTAAACTTAACTTAAGGCAGCATTTCATTTCTGATTCTGTCTTAGTTAGAGAGTGAACTGCAGACGACCGATGAAAAAAGATATATTAAATGAAAAAAACCTTATTTGATAAAAAAAATCTTAGTACTTATGTTATATCATTATATAGTAATATGAAAGTACAGTAACTTATATAAATATTTTGGGGCAACATTTGAATGACTGACTGAATAGATAAAGTCACCGACGCGAGGCCTTAATGAAATTTAATTTAGAACAACCAGAACGAAAATAACTAAAACCATTGATTATTAGATAGTAAAATCTTATCTAATATAATATTAATTAGTCAAAGATAACACTTAACTTTTAGCATAGATAAAACAGCTTTTAGCAAGTTAGGCAACAATATAGTAGACTTTCACCCACGGCATCGTTTACCGTCGCGTCGTACTTATTATATAGCACAGCCTACTGAAGAAACGTAGCCTGTAGAATAAACATGTAAATATTTATTTTTCAATCAATTGCGATACATTTTAGTAGATAATTTGTTAACTCCTGCCAGTATTTTCGTAAATACATTATTATCCTAGAAATTGTAGAGTTATAATATGAATACGGCATGACTGTTACTCTATGGATGAAAGAATAGTCGTTCTCTTTGTCTCAAGTAAACGACAAAATTGTAGGTCGTAAAATGTAAACAAATAAAAAGAAGAAGAAGGTAGCTCATAATGTTAATCTTATGGGACAAAATTAAAAATGTTTTTTTAAGATTTTATAATAATTACGGAACAAATATTTTTGAACAACTAATGGTCGCAAGATAAAGTGGTATAGAATCTTTGTGCAACACATCAAGTTTATAACTTTAGTCATTCTCGAGATTTCGATCAACATAAAGATGCATTTCACACCAGTATGAGAATTCACTTCGTTCATTCAACTAACAAGGGTACCCTAAACTAGTAGGATTGTAAATGTTGATCTTCCTTTCTCACTGTCGTAAAAGCACAGGAACATATAAAATAAAAATAAGGAAAATAAATATCTTTAGTTTGTCATTGCGAATCACGCCTGTGATACTTACCTTATAGTAAGCTAAACCTTCGTAGTAATCTAACGGGTATTGTTATTTATAAAGTGCATTTCTCTCTCTCCATATATATATATATATATATATATATATATATATATATATATATATATATATATATATATATATATTTTATGTTTAATGCTGAAAACATGATCACTATCTTATTAGTATACTTTTGTCTACAAACATTTAATGAAATTGCGCTCAGGTATCGACTGACGGAAACGTGACAATATCCACATTGATGTTCAAACCAACGTTGCTGGACCATGAGAAGACTCTGACCTGCAGAGCTGACAATCAACATGTCAAGGCAGGTGCTGAGGAGGACTCCTGGAAACTCAACATATACTGTGAGTCACAAACACAGTACACTGATTTATTATATTAGGCAATGGAATAATAAAAAATACACATTACTTCAAAGGAGTTTAATCTGGCAAGGGTTGAGATAAAATTAACACTTTATACTTTCCTGGTTATACATCTCATGCAAAGTATATACCTTATATATTGCATACTACCATTTATGTTTCATGGCTTTAACACATAACTATGGACATCAGTTACGAATGCCTCCTATTAACAGAACAACAAAACTCTTTTTTCCTATTTCTCAAACATAATTGAGTTTTATTTAGCTCATATGAGTAAATATACACGTGATTAGTTACATGCCTATACTAAATTAACGTTAGTGCTTGAAACAAATCCTGAACTGGCTAATCATGTACCAGGTTAACTGAATCTCTAGTTTATCCATGTTTGCCTCCTGGATTGAATAATAATAATAATAATAGGTTAAATACCTTGTATACGTCCTCAATCCAAGTCGTCTTTTAAAATGACAATAGTTTCGGGGCCAACAGCCCCATTGTCAAATTTTCTGTCTTGTTAATTACTGTTTATAGCATTGGTCACCGTTGAAGTACATATACGAGTATACACATACACTGACACACGAAACATTCATATTTACACGTAACATTGAAAAATTATACTTTTTACAAGGTATTTAACCTATTATTATTATGAATCTCTAGCTTATATATTGTAAAAACTGGTACTGTTTTCCTTCCAACTAAACTGTTTTAAATTTACAGTCATTCCAGTACTTCAACTGGAGCTTGGGTCAAAGATGAATCCAAATGACATTGAAGAAGGTGATGATGTTTACTTTGAATGCAAGATCCACGCAAACCCAGCAGCATATAAAGTCGTTTGGAGACATAACGTAAGTTTTTACCTAACATTGTGACAACTTTGGTTTAAATACCGTGTAGTTTACTTATAATTCCACACATATTATACATAAAATATTATATCCATTAGCTGTTGCGTTTTTACATCAATGCTATAAAATATCAGGATATCGTTGTTAGCGTAAATAAAGTAATATAAATAAATACAATTTTCCATTTGATATTTACTATTTTTAATGGCAGATGTTTACAAAGTTACTAAGGTTATACAAGTCGGGTGGACAATTTGTCTACTAGAATGTCCACCCGACTTGTATAACCTTAGTAACTTTGTAAACATCTGCCATTAACACACACACACTTTTTTGTTCTAGGTCGCTAGGATCTATCCCAGGATTTATGTCACATTACTTCATGCCTACCTACCTAACCTACCTAAGGGTTCTGAAATTATCATTTGGATAAAATCCATTGGTGATTTCTCAGGATTTGAACCCGATACCTCAGGGTCTGAAGTCTCACGCTAGACTAGCTTGCTTCCCGATTGATAATAACAACACTGACTAATAATTGCATAAAAAAGTATATTTGTGTAACCATAGCTTTTTATGGAGTTCCCGGATGTTTCTGTTGGCAATATTATAGTGTTATGTCATCTTATAGTACTTTCGTAATCCACGCCAACACAACCTGAAATAACTTAATCCTCAACAGGATTTTGTAGATAATTATAATAGTAATAACTAAAAAACTTAGAAATATTGAAGTAAGGGGGGGATATTTTATTTTGTACACAATTTTTATAATACTGTACATCATGAATATGTTTTTATATGTGTAATATGTTTTCATGAATGTGTTTTAGAACCAAGTTGTGCAGCACAACCAGAAGCTTGGTGTCATAGTCAGCAATCAGGACCTGGCCCTGCAGTCGGTCAAGAGGAACCAAGCAGGGAACTACACTTGCACAGCTTCTAACGTGGAGGGTGACGGCGAGAGTAACATGGTGCAACTCAAAGTCATGTGTACGTAGATTCTATCCACTCATTATCATTCTAATAAACTGTTTATTGTGACAGTCTGGAAATAAACGTGTTATGCATATCAATGGAATGGTTTAACAAGTTGTGAACTTTACAATATTATTGTATAGCTCATTGGCCTCTAAAACTTTAAACAGAGACACACAATAAATACTTACCACGCTCAGATGGTAAATGTAACGTTATCCTTTAGTATAATTGGATCATTGATTACTTTATAATACATTCTAGGTAATTTTGAAAATAGTATTGTCGTTCTCAATCAGATTTGTTGGTGACCAAGTCATTTATACCGTTGTATGACATGCATTAATCAAAACGTGCAAAATGGTTATGAATCCAAAGAGGATATTAAGTTGAGAAACATTTTAAAAACATTAATTCCGAGAGTTTGAAACCATTGTGAAAAGGAATTCACTTTTCTCTTGCACGTCTATTTTTTTTCTTTTCCTAAGTTCAATGTAGTTTCAATATTTTTTGGTTAAAATATGGCGTTTTAGCCTATTGCCAAATATATTTGCACTCTGTTTGCACTACATCAAAATATCAATTACCATTTCATGTAATTAATCAAACTCTCTACTGTGTAGATGCACCGATGTGTAAGCCAGACCAGAAGCGTGTGTACGGGGTGGCCAAGGAGGAGCGTGCCAACGTGCTGTGCGAGGTCGACTCGTATCCTCAGCCTGAAGAGTTCGTGTGGAAGTTCAACAACAGCGCGATGACCCAGGAGGTCGCCCCTGAGAGATACACCTCCGCACTCCTGCTCAGGATGTCGACTCTTACCTACATACCACAGAACGAGCTCGACTTTGGCACTGTCATGTGTTGGGCCAAGAACGCGGCGGGAGCTCAGTTAGAGCCGTGTGTGTTTCACATAATCGCCGCTGGTATGTAAACATACTATTAACTTATTACCTTTATTTATTAACAAATTAATCATAAGATGACTGATGTTGATTGTTATTTTAAACTCTCAGCAGATTCCTGAATCTATTTATTGGGGTGTATTAATAAAAGAATTTGGAGAAAAGATAATATAAAAGTTCACGCAAAAACACTTGTAGGTATGAAATTAATACTGTCGTAGGTGTATACTGTCACTTAAATGCTTACAAAGGCAAATAAATGCGTGCATTTGACACAAACAATAGGTAGGCGTGATCCTTATAAACCAGTTACAACAGGAAACATATTCCAGAAGTTTTGTTCACTTACAAAGTGTATATCATCATCTATATTGCAGGACACCCTGATCCACCACTGAACTGTACGGTGACCAACCAGACGTCGGAGTCGCTGGAAGTAGAGTGTCTAGAGGGGTTCGATGGTGGCCAGCAGCAGAAGTTCCACCTAGAGGTGCGAGACGTGGTCACAGAGAGGCTAGTAGCCAACAAGACCTCACTCAGGCCAAGCTTCCTTGTGGACGGTCTGGGCCCAGGCAGAGTCATGCGAATGTTGTTGTACTCCAGTAACGCCAAGGGCAAGAGTGACGCGCTCATCGTTGAGGGGTTCACACTCAAGGCGGCCGAGAAACAAACAGGTATGCAGTTGATGTAGCCTACTGTATCAAAAAGTTGTGAATATTTTATGTGTGGATCAAGTTGGGGTTGTCGTAAGATTCTTAGCCAAACCCAGTTGGAGATAAGGCCCATTAATATGAATGTTAGGCGATTTTTTTTTATCTAAGTTCTTTCTATTCTACAGTCACATACTAATGTTACAATATTATATTAATTCGATATCTTAAGGAATGGTTAACGTTTTTCTAATATGTGCATAATACTTATGTAAATCCAAAATTAAGCTTTTAGTATGTGGAGTGATGAATTCCATTTGAGTTTTGCAAAGACATTAATTTAAATTTTTCTTGATGATGAAAGCATTATTCAAATATTTAATGTGTATTTTTCATTTCCAAACATATTTTTAATTTAGTTACGACAAATAATGATAAATACTTATATACAGAGAAATTATAGATGGTTAATTAATGAATAACCGAAAACAGTACTTACTTTTAACAACTAACACTTAGGGCAAGAGTTTATTAAATTACTTGTTGGCTGATACTTATTTTGTGAGCTAAGTGTTTTAACGAGACATTTTGGGGGTATTATTATAGTAATAACAGAGCCCCTCCCTGCTAGACAGATAATGGCAGAGTCCTATTAGCGCGTCATCACGTCCCCGCCTGTGTGTGGTGCAGACTAAGTGGTTTAGTGCACCTCCTTTGTTGGTAGCTTCGAGTCATTATACAGTACTGGCTTAGACGACACAGTGATAAAAATAACAATCATATATTGCTGATACAAATTAAATTATTTGATAAATAATCTCAAGGTGTTACATTAAAATTGTAATGTTAAATCAGCTAACATTGGTTTGAAGTGATGCAATAAATACAGAAAAAAACCATGTAAAACTGTTTAAATGTGTTATATGTTCAATATTGCTTTATAAACGCACAAAAACCTTAAAACACAACTTACCATATTTGATTAATACTTCAATTGAGTAGTTCTTTACCCGAAAACAGCTCGGTTGAAAACTTTAAACGATATTAAAGCTCCTTTTTACCTTACAATACTTAAGTATAGAGCATTCTTAATTGTTTTTATGTTAAGATTGTTTGTCATAAGTCAATTCACAGGCAATTGTGGATAGATATAAAATGTATGTGCCAGTTATGGTATATGTTTACGGTGAGTATGATGCAGGTCCACCCGTGGGGCTTGACGTGATGCCACTGGTAGGGGTGGGTCTCTTGGCAACGACAGTGCTGCTGGTGTGCCTCGTGATCGTCCTGGGGGCGATACGACTGAGGACTGGCGGGGGCGCGGCACAGAGACCTCAGGTGCTTGCCATCAAGGACAAAGCCACGCTGCCTCTTCGCTCCGACGTGCAAGACCTCTACGACATGGACGACAAGAACCCTGACCTCATACCGTGCAATAAAGGTGGGCACTGGCTTAGTGATATTATACTGTTTATGTCTTCTTCGGTGTTTAGTTGATCGAAATTTATGGGTTCCATCATAAAGATATTCATGCTTAAATTTACTACTTCTGTGTTAAATATTTACTTATTCGATCAACTCCACTTAGAAAATATTTACATTTTGTTTTAAAACTGAATAATATTAACAATTAAAAATGTATCGTTTCTAAGGATTGGTAGCTATTTTAAAATGAGCAGAATTCAATTATTTATACTCACAATATTTCGCTACTTGTGAACACATATTATTGTTGGAAATTGGAATAGATACTATAACTAAAGGTAACTAACCGGGTGGTTAGAATTAAACTCCGGTCATATCCATACGGTATGTTGGACAGGCTTTTCTACTGGAAGTTTATGATTTCAACAAACAAAATGTCAACGTAAAGTAAAAAAAAACAAAAAAAAACGAGTGTCTGTTTGATATACTTAGATTCTAAACTTAAGGATCATTGGATTGATCATCGGTTAAGTTTAGGGATAGAAAGGTTCAGTGTTTATATGTTGCAGGTTCAGACTACCAGCTCGTGTCGAACGTCGGGACACCAGCTGCTGGTGACGTCACCACACCCACGCCGCCAACAGCGCCGCTGTACGACGACAATACACCTCGCAACAACGTCATCTCCAGGAATGGCGACCTCTACGATAATTATAAGAATAACTACTTATCTCAGCGGGTGAGCTATCTTTTTCGTTTCTGCAAATATTTCTTTTAAATAGTATTTCACCTAATTCTTTTTGTATGTTAATATAACTCTTGTCCAAAAAGAGTTATTACGTAACAAAATTTACGTTACAATTTGCATAATATTTTATTAAGTATATTTAGACTTTATTAATGTTACTTAATTTGCATTACTGTATTTGATGACTTTTTTAGTAATTCCAATAACTGAATACACATTAAAAATATTAATAGAACTACAGTAAAATAATATTATACTTTAATTTATTTTTAATAATATCAACGTTTAAACTTAATTGTACTATAAGACACTACTAGTGTTTCAAACGATACTGTTTGAAATCTAAGTTAAACATTCAAAGTTTCTGAAGACAAATTTAGCATGTGGTAACCCAGCGGCAGGTAAAGGAAAGTTTATTGTTGCCATCAATCCCGTCTACACCGAAGGGTATTCGTCTATGGTGGGTGGTTTAGCATAGTTTGTAACCAACCACCTAAAGTTTAGTTCACTGGCCACCGAGCTTTAACCGAACGTACATTAGTTATAACATAATTTTGTATCCCTAGGGCAGGCGAATTTCCACCACGCTTTACACGTTTCACTGTTAATTAATTTCTAAGAATACTTTTCAAAAGGCACCATTGTAAATAGTTGTGTATATCAATTCGTCGTAGAGCGATAGTTATTTGTTTAATACCTTAAGAGTAATAAGCTCAAATCTGATTGTTTGAAAGTCAACTATATTTTAAGACTTGAGTAAATTTTATTGAAAATAACTGAATGTATAAAGAATAGCTATCGATTATTATTATTAACTATAGTAACTCATGTATTTATGTTTTATATGACTAATACACCTCCACTATACGTCTGTTACAGCCTAGTGATGACGTGACATATGCAGAGCTCTGTCTCAGTAGACCTACCAGTCTCGTGGACCGAGGGAGAGATCCTACGATATATGCTGAGATTGATCACAACCGTCGTGCCAACCTCCCTCATTCGTTGGTGTCTCCTGCCACGCACCGTGAAATTGTGACCGTGAGGACTCCTCTCATGGGAAGCCAGCAAGAGAGCTGTGTATAGCTTGTTTTGGCTGCTTAAATATTATTTTATATTGTTAACTAATATCGAGCAAAGTATTAAATTCAGAATGTTTGCGTGCAACTAAATTTTAAAAGCTCTATACTCAATGTTTTTAATCAAACTACTCATCATCCATGCAAAGCCATAGATGATAGTTTATTTTTAATTCAAGTCAAGTAACAAAACCCATCAAACAATGAAACAAAGCTAGTTAATTGATTGGGCGTGAATGTTGATATGGTCATTGTTCTTGTTAATAACAAAATACTACTATTACCAATTAGGAAAAGTAAAATATTTACTTTTTTTTAAGGGTATATACGTTGATTACTGTAATGTTATCTTTATTATTCCTAATGTAGTTGAAGATTATTTGCATTTAATACAACCCGACGAGATTATGAATTCCAATTAACAAATACCAATTCGGTTAAGTTTGTCAAAGAAAAATACATATAAAATTGCATCTTTTAAAACGAAATAAAGCGTGCAATGCCTTTCTGATTTTGATACTTTGTTTTATAAATACGAGTGATAAATTTGGAAGTAATAATTGAAAGAAAGTGACACGCATTAACCTAAAGTTACTACTCTATCACTAGAATCTAGGAAATTTAATTATGTGTACATATTTGTAAATTGTTCAAATAGGGTACTATTGAAATGTTTTTATCCTAATACTATTTATTTAAATGACCTGTGAATATATATTTTTTTTATAACTAAATAATTCATATCTTTTAAATTTTCATAGGCCTACCATAGTCATATCTTTTGAAATGCTGCATATCGTATTACATACCTGAAATAGATCAAACCTAAAGTTAAGTTTGAATAATTATTGTAGTTTTGCTCTGAACAAAACATATATTAAATTGTACCTGAAAATCATATCGGTATTGAAAATAAACTTAGTAATTACTGAGACTCTCATCACTATTGTCATAACTCAGAGGAGAACGGAAAATATGTTATAAAATATGTTATTATAAAATATTGTAGTGGGTTGATTTACAAGCTGACGTTTGGGTGTATAAATTGTATTTTGAAACCAATGAACCAAAGATCACAAATATTAAACTACATTAAATGACAAGTATTTATATTTATACATTGATTGATAAAATATCAATCTTCATTCATATTCTTCAGTGAATAACTTCACATGAAGGTAATAAGAAGTATGAAAGTACATGATTGACATAATCTCACAGAGCTATTCTTGTGGCAACATTAACGAGGGCATACATCTTTTCATGACTCAGTTGTGTGAAAATGAATACATGATACGAAACAAAAACTCATATTGCGATATTTGTTTGAATAGCATACCCTGTTTAATTAAATAATTTCAATTTATGCATTCTGAATAAGCAGAATATTGAACAAGGCTAGTCTCGAGGCAGTCAATGCAAAATATATTAATTTAGTATAGGTACTTTTTGAATGTGCACACATATTACATATGCAATCATGTAATGTTTTAATTTCTAGGCCCTAAGGACCCAAAGGTCCTAAGGATGCTATACATAAAAAAAATATATAAAAACACTTTACACGCTCGAAAGTGTTTGATCTACAAATAGTTTTAATGTCAGGGCTACAAGTTTATAATTTATAAGATTTCTTTGAACAGAAATTTAGTCTGTCTATGTTTTCAAAATCCATTCGATAGTTGATACTATCATTATAACATACTATACTTATTATAACATTCCCTTTTTAAAAAAACCCTCCTACAATGTGATGCGGAAGGAAAATCATAATCAAGCAAAGATTATATGCATTTTATTGTCATTTTTTTATTAATTATACTATTTTAACTAATTAAATTGTATTAAACTTTGCCATTTACGTCAACACAGGTGAAAAGTTAAATTATTTTAGACCGTTGTAACACCTGTTATGCAGTTATTTACTTCAACATGACTTTGTTATTATTGTACATATAGATAACTTGTAAGAAGCATTATGTAGAAAACTCTGTATATATTTAAAGTAATCGTATACAGTTTTGTAACTAAGTAATACTATTGATAAGCTATTTAAATAGAACACACAATGTTGATGGATAAGTTTCGTACAGTTGTAAAATAAAATAATATTTGTAAAATTTCTATTATAATTAGATATAAATATTTTGAATCGTGTATCCAAAGACCAATACTCGCGAAGATCTAGTGAATCGCTCTCCATATTTCCTCACAATTCGATATCTGTGTGGTTCAAAGTGTTTTCTCTTTATCTGTTAACTACAATTGTCTTAATTGGGACTGCAGACTGTTTGTTACAAAAATACAACTTGTTTGATATTTCACATTGTTTTACTTTATATTTAAGTGCCATTTCCTCTTAAAGACTTTTGACTGAATATCGTAATTGAAAGTATAATAAATAATAAATATTCTTTCATAGATGTTTTGTTTCATTTAAATCACTGGATACGAACACGTTAGTATTAATTCTTGATTGTAGACTGTGCAATATGTTTGTCATAATAGAGTTTGATTTACCAATACTATCAGTGTGGTTTTAAGGTTTTAAATTGGTTCATTTTAAACCTATAATATAACTTTTAAGGTTCTATTTTATTGTATACATTAGTAGATCTGACATTCTGCATAAGCTACTTTTTTCTTTATGAAATAACTTGTTGTATTGAACCCCTAACAGCTAAAGGCTACTTAAAAGGCTACTTTAAAGGCTAGATAAAGGCTACTTTAAAGTAACATCCATAATTGGGCTGTGGATAATTGGATATAAAAACAAGTGTGTCATATTGTTTGCTTTTAAACGGAATATCTTTGATTTAGATTTTGTAAATTATAATTCACTACCGCTTTAAATCAAACTTATTTGAATAATTATTCAACATTGTCAATGTTTACGTTGCAATTAGCCATCGAGACTATGGTAATTTAATCCTAATAATTTTAAAGTTTGAGTAGAGCTATTTAAGATGCTAAACCGTACTTTAAAATGTTGTTACGACCCAAAAGTGGTGACAACTGTTTGATATTTTCATTGATTTGTTTTCCTTAATTTAGATTTAAGGACTCCAGACACTGGGTCATTTACATCCGTGTTCTTTGCTAGTCTTACTCATGTCTCAGAAGGCCTTCACACAATACATAATACATAATGGATTTCCTTGTGGAATTACATAATATGTATATAAGATTGTTATCCTAATAGTCACTTTTTTAATTTAAAAAAATCCGATAAAGGTGGTATAATCTTACCTGGGTTATGCATCTAGGGTAAGTTTTATGTAGATTGAGCTGTTGCTACACATGATCAATATTCCGAGACCATAGGCTAGAGTAACTAGAACCCCCTTAACCTCTTAAATAATATTCTGTATAATATGCATTGGTAATCATAATATTCTTTGGGATATGGTGACAAGACATTTTTCATATATTTTGTTACTGAGAGTCGGAGATAATTTTGTAAGATGACGGAATTAATCATAAAAATTACCAAAAGGAAGCACATACTATACTTAAAAACTATTTCTTACTAAGAGGATATAAGGTAAGGTTCTATAAGGTAGGATAGTATAGATTTTAATAAATTTGCGATTAAAAATACAGTGCTTAACTGATGGAATAATGGGCTACAAGACTTTGGCATTTTAAGAGCCCAATCCAAAAATTTTGTATTAGTTATCTTTTTATTACAAAGGTTGCAGACGGGTGTGAGTGCTAAGCATAAAATGTATTCCTTAAGCAGTTGATATAGTAATCTAATAATATTCTAATTAACATTGTAATAAGCTACAGAATTAAATATTTATTAAAGACAAAAAGGATAAACAACATAGTCTAATTTTTGCTTAATCTGAATAATTATTCTAGTGTGTCAAATAATATTGGACGTGTTATGCATTTTTAATAGATAATGAGTCAGATATAATAAAAAAACAACCATAGGTCCGTGAAGTTGGCGTACCCATATTAGCGTATCCACTTTTGATCATTCCAATCGTTAGTTCATCGTTAGTTCTCGATAGTTCCCAAGTTTTGTCGTTAGTTCTCAAAAAATAAAAAAGTTATAGCCAATTATAAGTGGGTACGCTAACTTCACACTTCCGGGTTCTAGCGCACGCCGTTTCCTGATGAGAAATGTTTACATCTATATATCAATCGTTAGTTCTTCGTTAGTTCTCGATAGTTCTCCAATATTAACGTTAGTTCTCAAAAAATAAAAAAGTTACGAGGCATACAAAGTGGGTACGCCAACTTCACAATTATAGAATTTCCAGCGGGCACACTTTTTTGAATAAAAATGCTTATATCTATATACCAATCGTTAGTTCTTCGTTAGTTCTCGATAGTTCTCCAATATTAACGTTAGTTCTCAAAAAATAAAAAAGTTACGAGGCATACAAAGTGGGTACGCCAACTTCACAATTATAGAATTTCCAGCGGGCACACTTTTTTGAATAAAAATGCTTATATCTATATACCAATCGTTAGTTCTTCGTTAGTTCTCGATAGTTCTCCAATATTAACGTTAGTTCTCAAAAAATAAAAAAGTTACGAGGCATACAAAGTGGGTACGCCAACTTCACAATTATAGAATTTCCAGCGGGCACACTTTTTTGAATAAAAATGCTAACATCTATATACCAATCGTTAGTTCTTCGTTAGTTCTCGATAGTTCTCCAATATTAACGTTAGTTCTCAAAAAATAAAAAAGTTACGAGGCATACAAGGTGGGTACGCCAACTTCACAATTATAGAATTTCCAGCGGGCACACTTTTTTGAATAAAAATGCTTATATCTATATACCAATCGTTAGTTCTTCGTTAGTTCTCAATAGTTCTCCAATATTAACGTTAGTTCTCAAAAAATAAAAAAGTTACGAGGCATACAAAGTGGGTACGCCAACTTCACAATTATAGAATTTCCAGCGGGCACACTTTTTTGAATAAAAATGCTAACATCTATATACCAATCGTTAGTTCTTCGTTAGTTCTCGATAGTTCTCCAATATTAACGTTAGTTCTCAAAAAATAAAAAAGTTACGAGGCATACAAAGTGTACGCTAACTTCACAATTATACAATTTCCAACGGGCACAGTTTTTTGAATAAAAATGCTTATATCTATATACCAATCGTTAGTTCTTTGTTAGTTCTCGATAGTTTTTCAATATTTACGTTAGTTCTCAAAAATAAAAAAAAAGTTACGAGTCATACAAAGTGGGTACGCAAACTTTACAATCATACAATTTCCAGCGGACACAGTTTTCTGACTATAAATGCTTATATCTATATACCAATCGTTAGTTCTTCGTTAGTTCTCGATTTTTCTCAAAAACGTACCCTCAACTATTCTTTCAAACATTCACAGCATCGTTCTTAAACAGTTTCAAAATACGTTCAAAATTAAAAGTGTTAGGTTATTAATATATACCGAGAATAAATATTGTTATCTTATGATAAATTAGTTATAATAAAATATTAATTGAAATTTAGTTTAATGATTTGAAAAAAAGGGATTTTATTCAAGTTCCATGCCTTTAGCCGGCTCCAGACTGTACCCACGCAAAGTACAGAACAGCAACTCGCCGAATCGCGAGTAGTATGACAGCAAATGCTCGTGCTCGTGTTTTCCGTTCATTGCCGGTATTTTTGCACACATCAAAGTGAAGGAATATTTTTGCCATTCTCGAAACGAACAGTTGGTGGGAAAACAACACATGTGTGTAGACACATGTAGATATAGATATAAGCATTTATAGTCAGAAAACTGTGCCCGCTGGAAATTGTATGATTGTAAAGTTTGCGTACCCACTTTGTATGCCTCGTAACTTTTTTATTTTTTTAGAACGAACGTTAATATTGGAGAACTATCGAGAACTAACGAAGAGCTAACGATTGGTATATAGATATAAGCATTTTTATTCAAAAAAGTGTGTCCGCTGGAAATTCTATAATTGTGAAGTTAGCGTACCCACTTTGTATGCCTCGTAACTTTTTTATTTTTTGAGAACTAACGTTAATATTGGAGAACTATCGAGAACTAACGAAGAACTAACGATTGGTATATAGATGTAAGCATTTTTATTCAAAAAAGTGTGCCCGCTGGAAATTCTATAATTGTGAAGTTGGCGTACCCACTTTGTATGCCTCGTAACTTTTTTATTTTTTGAGAACTAACGTTAATATTGGAGAACAATCGAGAACTAACGAAGAACTAACGATTGGTATATAGATGTAAGCATTTTTATTCAAAAAAGTGTGTCCGCTGGAAATTCTATAATTGTGAAGTTGGCGTACCCACTTTGTATGCCTCGTAACTTTTTTATTTTTTGAGAACTAACGTTAATATTGGAGAACTATAGAGAACTAACGAAGAACTAACGATTGGTATATAGATGTAAGCATTTTTATTCAAAAAAGTGTGCCCGCTGGAAATTCTATAATTGTGAAGTTGGCGTACCCACTTTGTATGCCTCGTAACTTTTTTATTTTTTGAGAACTAACGTTAATATTGGAGAACTATCGAGAACTAACGAAGAACTAACGATTGGTATATAGATGTAAGCATTTTTATTCAAAAAAGTGTGCCCGCTGGAAATTCTATAATTGTGAAGTTGGCGTACCCACTTTGTATGCCTCGTAACTTTTTTATTTTTTGAGAACTAACGTTAATATTGGAGAACTATCGAGAACTAACGAAGAACTAACGATTGATATATAGATTTAAACATTTCTCATCAGGAAACGGCGTGCGCTAGAACCCGGAAGTGTGAAGTTAGCGTACCCACTTATTATCGGCTATAACTTTTTTATTTTTTGAGAACTAACGACAAACTTTGGGAACTATCAAGAACTAACGATGAACTAACGATTGGTATGATCAAAAGTGGATACGCTAATATGGGTACGCCAACTTCACGGACCTATTTGAACTGCGTATTTGAAGCGTACATTTCATCGATACATTTATAGTGCTAACCTAATTGTAGAGGGAAACTTTGCTTCGACTTAAAACGGGTTTCACAAAAGCTAATTCAATTGACAATAAATCCAAACAGATGTATCTACATATGAGCAAAGGCTATAATATAAAATGTAATTTTATTGACAGTGCGATTTACTAACGCCGACGAAAATTCTAGTTATTTGATTGAAAAATGGCCTGTAACTTAATAATTAATAAACATGTCACATAGACAGCCTGAATATGTAACTTACACTATAATATTTTCATTTGGAAGTTTTGATTAATCCGTTTTTTTAAGCCATAGATATTTATTAAAAAACTGATTTGCTTAAACTTTGCAACAAAGTCATAATAACAGAGGTGACGTGTTGCCGATGGGTTTCCTGTTATTAATGTTCAGGCTCC